GTGCTGGTTGAAGGACAGAAAGTTTGGGAGAGGAATGAGTTAGGGAGATAAGGGTGCCAGATTTCTCTTTTGGAAATTCAAGAGAGAGAATTTTAGACATGACTTTTAGACACCCCTCGATATTACATCAAAAGGTGTCTAGTACACATTTAGAATTAACAGCTTGGGAGTTACTCAGGACCTGACATAACTTTTCTTATTTTGAAAATTTTCTAATTTCTTATTTTAAAAACTAAGATGATGTTCATTTATTATGTGTAGCATCCTGATATGTTTTCAGTAAAGTATACAGAATTATGTTTCCACATTTACTATAAGCAGGCTGAGGACAGTGATAATAGCTGTTTACTTATGATTCTCATCATAGTTCGATGGAAAATAATAGATAAACAATCTGTGCTTTTCTTGAAAATATCGCATGTGGTTTTAGCCATTCAGTCTGCGAGTGCATTAGTGTAGTTTCAAATCTGTTCATGTGGTTTAGGCACCAAAATAATATGAGGTTAATATTCTGGCTTCCAATTCATGACTTTCTCATCACTGCCAAAATATTAAAGCGGTATGTGGGTGCCGGACCGTTGATGCAGGACTGGCGGCACTGGTGTGGGAGTGACATGGGGTCCTGCTGGGGCAAGTTCTGTTCTTGAGGATCTGCTCCCAGTAGCATTTCAAGGAATACTGGGGCTTTTCAGTAACTCCTTTCCCTGCCTCTAATTATTATGACTGTTTTTGTAATGACCTGCTCACGTTGTGACTATATCCACAGTCACATTCTTATTTCAGCGTCGCTCACTGAAGTAATCGGTGGTTCTCAGAGAAATGTGAGCTTTAAGCTTGGATTTCCAACATATTCAGTACAGCATTTCATTGGTCTCCTGATTTACAATTAAAAAGATGATGAAATACCAGGAGACTCTTGCATGGGTTTTAGGGAAGAGCTACAGACACTTAGGGGTGTGTGTGCGTGAGTTCTTCATACTGTGTCATTGCAAGAAAACTTGTGAAGCCTATTATTTATGGAATTAGGCTGGCTTTTCTACACAGAATCAATGCACTAATGGTCTGTTCACTTGGCAGAGGGTATGTACATGTCCATGTTCCTAGCCAACGTGGATTCATGGGTTTATTATAGATTGAAAAGGAAGATGAAATTTCGCTATGTTTCTAAGAACATTTTGTGATGATCTCTCAGTTACCTGAAAATAGCTATGTTAAGAATTATAATGAACAGTAGGGATAAAAATGCCACCTCAAAAGCCACGCAGCACGGAGACCCGGAGCAGAGTAGTCAGCTCATGGACTTCAGAAACAGATGGACACCAGGAATGTTGCCGTGGGTGAATACGACAGTACCTTCTACAATTTGAAGCATGTTTCTAGAGAGAAGTTCTGAAAACATACAGGGTGAACTTAAGACTGATAGAAAGACAAAATAAAGCAACCAAAAAAAGTCATGGCAACATCTCACTGACCCACTCTGTCTCCAGGTCTGTCCACGGGCACAGCCCAGGGCTCTGCCAAACCGGTTGCACGAGGCGGTTCAGCCGTCCCACAGGCTAGGGGGGTGGGAGTGAGGTCCTGGTGGTCTGCACTTCTCCTTTGGGAACTTCCTTGTCAGCCCAGCACTCCTGGGCCCTCCTGGGAGTGGACTCTGCTGCTCCTGTAAGGAGCTCGGCTGCGTAACAATGCACCTGGGGCCGCACAAGTCAAGCTCTCTCAGATCCACAGCTGGAGTCCAGAACCCAGGTAGCTTCCCTCCTGCCTCCTGTTCACAGAGGGCACCTGCGGGCTGGGTGCTCCCACGCTGCCAGGGCCAGGTCTCTCTGGCCTCCTTGGCAGGGCCCTGGTCCTCACGTGCCCCATGTCACCCTATCACCACCAGGGGATGGATGACATCTCAGTGTGTGGGTCTTGACCACGCAAACACGCAGACCACGGCAAGGCGCTGCCGAGCGCAGGGCGCCTCGAGTGTGGGGACAGTGTGGCTTTCTCAGAGCTCTGGGGTCCTCTGAACAGAGACCCTGCTGTCATGGCTGGTCCCTGGGTTTGGCCTTCACAGGGAGTGCAGAGACCCTGGTGGTCAGAAGGCACGGTGCAGGGAGGACCCCTGGAGTTCCCTCAGGCCCCCCGATGGGGCCCTTGTCTAGTGCCTAGATTTCCTAGGATGGCGCGAGTGTACCCTGTCTGGGGACCCTGAGGTTTGCCAGGTCCCAGGTGCTCCTCTTAGTGTTGACACAGGTGTTAAGGAAACCCACCCTACTTGCTTTCTTTACATCCCTTCCCCGGACTCCTTTCTTAGGAAAGGTAAGGAACAGTTAGGAAAAACACTGTGGGGACCCTCCAAGAGGGGTTATCAAGAGGGATATCAAGGGAAAACATTGCATATTGGTTTAGAGGCTTTTTTTATTTTTTAAAGTAGAGTTCATTTTGTACTAATTATGTGAAATAAATTACCCTCTGATAGCAAGATAGCATCCTTCAATAATCAAAACTATGGCTTTTTTTTTTTTTTTAGCATCTAAAGGCTTTACTTATTCTATAAAATAACCTCTACTTAACTGGTGTATCCAATTTACTATGCTCTACATAAAACTATGCATAATCATATTATGCTTGGTGTGTAACAATCTTTCCTTCCAAGTCCTATACCAAAGTGAAAGAAAATACAGATAATATTAATTTATTTAAAAATCATCACATTATACCACGTCTGCTTTATTCTTGATTTACCCAAATGTCTTTTGCATGAAAGCATAGAATGCATTTCTAGCAGTCCAAGGAAATTTTAAGTCAGAGGCAGAGATGCAGACCCAGGAAAGATCACTCCTTCATGTGATACTGTTTTGTACTTCCAGGTAGCTAGAGAGGGAGGGGTTGTAGATCAGGCAGCTGAAATGGCTCATCTTCTCAACCCACCTTCTTGTACCTGGAACACACCTGTAACCCCAGTAACGCCTCTTGCACCAGCTGAATGGCTACATTTAGTCTCAGAACAGGCTTTGGTGCAAAGTTAGCATGTAGGGACAAATGGATCTGCACCTTGCACTTTTAACAATGCAGAGACTTGAGGGGTACAGCGGCCGGGCAGACTAGGTGTGGGAGGGACAGACACCCAGTGGCTAAATGTCACCATGTCATCCACAAGTTAAAATGCATTTTCCTGTCAGCCTCTCTTCATTTACCTCTCTGAATGGGAAGTTCAATTAAAATATAGAAACTTCTTTCACAATCCCACGTTTATGGAAGGCTGCATTTTTTGATAGACTGCAGGTGTCATAGAGGGGCCTGAGCCTGTGTTTTCCCTTTCTACCAAGCCTCAGTAGCCAGGAGTTCAGATGTCCAGTAGGCCAGGGCGACTGCCGAGTGTGGAGACTGGACTCTGCGGAGACCCAACGGCAGCCTTCACTTTCCTGGAGGAGCGGGAAAGGGTCAGATGCACTGAGGTGGTGTGCCCAACCTGTAACTTGTTAGGCACTGGTCCCCCAGGGCCCTGAAGCCTGATGCAGTGTCACAGCCTGGCACCAAGGCCCTGGGCAAGGCAGCCAGGTCTTAGAGAAGTCCCTCTGGCTCAAGTTGGACGTGGTCGCCCCTAAACAGAACCGCGCCAGAGAAGGCAGACTACAGCTGCCACTGGGCGCTCCATGTGATGTTCAGGATTTATGCAGATCAGCAATGTGATCACCCCACACTTGTTTCCTGACAGAGCACCAGAATGACATATCCATATAAACACTGCAATTTGAAACACTAGTTTTTAAAACAAATTATAATGGGTATGTCACTAATTTTAGTTAGAATTTCAAATACCAAAAATAATGTATTCCTTATTAGCATTGATTGGAAAAGCACCTGTTTAGGCCCCGGGAACACTGCGCACATTGAAATGAGCATTCTGTGTTATCACTTTCTCTCTCCTGCCAAGTTTAACAGACAGAGACTTGAGGGGTAAGCTTCCAAGTTTCAGCTTTACGCAGAAATAGCTCCCAAAATGTGCTTCCAACATTACGAGTTGTGCGTTTCCATTCCTTCCTCCTGTCTTCCTCCTGCCCTGCATGTCTGTTTCTCTTCCAACCGTCCGTCTATCTGACATCTGTCTATCTTACATCTATCAACAATCATTCATCATCTACTCTCCTATTACATATCCTCCATCTCTGTATAGCCTATCCATCCATCATCTATCCATCATCTATTTATTTATCCACATATCATCCCTCTATCATCTACCACTTATCTAACATGATCTATTTCTCTTCCTTCTAAACCGTGGTACTCAGTGTTCTAGACTAATTTCAGGATAGTGCTGGCTGTCTCTCTCTTTACTCACAATATGAGTCAACAAACATTTTTTTTTTCCTTTCGGGGGAAAGTTTCCTGTGACCTACAGAGTTTTTAATGTGTATGTAGATAAAGAGGCTCGGGGTAGAGCACTTGCCTAGCACACATGAGGTCCTAGGTTGCATTCTCAGTACTGGGGCAAGAGGCAGGAAAAGTAAAGTAGAAATAAACTTCAAGGCTTTGTAAGCAATGAGTTGTCGGGGCAACTTGGAGTCAGAAAGACCTTTTTATAAAAAGTTCATAGTGAAAAATTAAATCACATTAAAAACATTGACGTGGGGTGTTCTTGGTGTCCTCAAAACATGCCTTGTTAACTGCAATCAATGTCTCTTTTGATCATATGTTGTGTGGTTAGTCTAAACAACCTAAATTTTAAAATAGATATTTGCTGGATATTGATTTAAAGTATGGTCATGGTTAAACTTCATTTTATAGCGAGGAATAAATAACTTGGAAGAAATAGAAATTTAGAATTCTATAAATTTCTGCTAATTAAAGACACTCGAATTTATACAATTATCCCAGCAGGTACTTAAAGAAGCTTGCAGATCATCTGTAATCCATTGGCATTAAGGAGGGAACTCTGGTCTAGAGCTGCGTGTGCAGCATGAAGAGTGGCGGAAGCTCCCTCTGCTCAGTAACTGTCTGTGCTTTGCATCCAGGTCATCAAGCTCGCCTTTGAAGAGTTTGAGTTGGAAAGAGGGTACGACACCCTGACAGTAGGGGACGCCGGGAAGGTGGGGGACACCAGATCCGTCTTGTATGTGTGAGTATGTCCTTTTTCTTCTCCTGTAAATATGGCATTGCATGGCAAACGCGGGCGTGCTCGGGGCTCCACTTCAGGTGCTGCACAGTGCGGAGCTGGCTGCCTAAGGGCCTCCCGCGGGACTTTGCAGAAGAACTACTGGCAGACTGTTTTAACTTTATCAACTGTTTTTCCAAAATTAAAAAAAGAAATATGTTTATAGCAAAAAAAGAGTACACACAAAGAAGGCAAAAGGTGGAAATACGAGTTTTTGCACTCAACGCCTCCCTCGGCCTCTCTCTTTGCGCTTCCCCGTGGTTTTATGTTATCAGGTGCTTTTGGAAGTAGACATGGTTTTTGGAATAACGTTCTCCAGAAACCCTTGCATGCTGGAAAGCTGCAGAGCCAGCAGTTATTCTGGAGAAATACTGTTGGGGTAGCTCCCTGCGTACTCCAGAACCCTGTGCCCAGAGTCCTGGCACAAACAGCAGCTGCCCTGGAGTGACTATCTCCAGAAGGCTCCTTCTTCTTACACCTGCACCTGGTGTCTGTCTCTCCTGCAGCTCTACTCACCCACCACTTTGGCTACGCCCCTGTGTGGGGTCTTGTAGACAGGTTTTGACAGTTTTTATTACAACTGTATTATCAAAATCAAAAGTATGATTTGGGGGCATTCTTCCTCATTAATCAATGATTTTAGCACAGAGAAAAATATCTTCCTGTCTCATTCATCAGAGAGCATCAGGGACGAGCTCTTAAGTCCATGGGCCCAGAAACTTCATTTGTTAATGGGGAGCTATCTATCTGCAGGGTTTTCACCTCTTTTCTTAGTGTACCTGTATGTTGCTGAAGATCTCCCTTTATGTGTGAGGAAGTTGCCCCTGAGAACATCTGCATATTATTTTTCTAGAAAAGGAATGTTATTATGCTCACTCCTTTCTTTACGGATTACTTAGGAGGCAATTCACATTTTGAAAGGCTGACCACCCTGTCTATGCTTTACAAATTTGTGGGCCTGCAGTAGGCTGCCCTGGAGCCTCTGTCTTTCATTTGCTGTATTTTGAACATCTTTGCAAATGAGCATCTATTTCTATCATCTTCCCATTGGCCCTTTTCAAACAGTGTTATTAATAATTAGACTCACGTCCCTGGCTCAGGACCTAGGACAGGTTCACCAACAGCACCGGGTGCTGCTGAGCCTCTCTAGTGCAGCGTGCCCTGTGCCGAGTGCCCCAGGCACACTTCCTTATCTGTGTGCTGGAGAAGTACCTGGCTAGGGAGCTTCTCACCATCATGGTCTCACCCCGTGACTATGCATTGCTTGAATCCAAGGTCTTGCCTGTCGTCAGCACACATGTAATAGCTGCGGCCGGAGCTGGTTCTCCTCACAGCCTTGCCCCCCCCGCCCCCTCTCTGATTTCACGAGCAGCTCTGTGGTCCACCTCTCTGCACACCTGCATCGCCATGGTTGACTCACTTGCCTTCAGGACTTCAGCAGAGCACGTCCGGGGTGAGGGGTTCTTCAGCCACTTGGTTCTGTGTTCCCAGCCATCCTGGACACTGATGTGCCATGCTCCTGCCCCACAGTAGAACGGGGAGGGCCACATTCCCCAGACTCTTACCAAGCAGTCACGTTCCTTTCTGAATTACTAGAGGAAAATTGCATTTCCTCAACTTTGCAAACAGAGTCTTAGCGGGGGGCGGGGGGGGGGGCAGGCATGGAGCTGGCGAACTTCTGACCCAGGGCTGTGCACACTGCCAGGTTGGGCTGGGACGTACTGGGCACAGAGCTGCAGGCCGAAACACGGAGTCAAAGATGGAGCTTTGGCTCCCACTCTGCTAGTTACTGTCTCTGTGACCCTGAGGGAAGTCATTTTACCTCTCCGTACCTCTGTTTTCATGGCTATAAAATATGTATAATAAACTTTTCCTGCCTGTGGTAAGGAGAAAAATGAAATAATGCATGTGAAAACTCAGGAGAGCTAATAAATGTAACCCCATGTAAAATAGCTTTATTATTACCATAACATCTAATTTAAGAAAGGATGTCACTAAAATAAATGAAGGAAAGTTTTAAATAAATGCAAAATTTAAAATATAAATGCAGCAAGTTAATGTCCTATAAAATCCCTTAGGTTACTGTTAAGGGTCTAAAATCATACACTCATTTTTTTAATGCTGCTTGTTGTTAGGAAAGCAATGGCGAGCTATGTATTACAATGACATCCACGTTATTAGGGCCTCTTCTCAATAGCTGGAATCTATACAGGAAAAGCTAAATGGCCAACTGAATCAAACTGAGGTGCCCTTTGGGAAGCATAATGTAACCAGGACCAGTTGGGCATTTCATCAGCTGCCGCAGAGCAAAGAAGAGCCACTGACTTATTTCCTCAGTGAACCAAATTACAGGAAGAGAAGAGTCAGAGGCTCCCCGCTGGTTTCTGGAACAAACAGGTAATTTCAGACAATGCATCAGCCGACATTCTAGGCACTTATATGCCAGCTGATGTTCTCAGCATGGAGTTCATGATCTAATTGGAGAAATGACAGATGTGTGGGATCATCTAACTAGCAGACAGCACACAGAACCCAGGGTCTCAAGACACACACCTCAGATCACACAGGCATTAAAAACCTCCTTTATGTCCCAACGGCATCCACTGCCATCAACCCCGTGTCTCGAGGTTCCCTTTGTGAGGGCCTCTGGGATTCTGGACCCATGTGGGAAGAGAGATTGCCTAAAAATGAGATAAGTCACCCTAAGTGAGGTATTTAAAATTCCCATTTCTGTTAATGGTCTTTTATTTTCTCAACTTTCATGATACCAAAAAAAAAAAAAAAAAACCCTCAAGTGAACATCAAGGGGTCCTTCAGTACCCCCAGGCTTCCCTGAGATGGATGAATGTACTCAGGTTCTTTTTCCAGAGCAGCAGAACCAAGAGAAAATCAAATAACTTACTTAACAAATCTCTGCTGAGCTCTTTGCAAGAATATATATTGATGATCTTCTTGAATTTAATTTGCAGACTGTATGGGAAGATGTCTGCTCACCTGGCCTCCCTCTGGCCATGACAGCTATTAACTGGTGGTGACTGGAGATTGCATTAGCTCAGAATGTACTGGGGACTGCAGGCACAGGATGTGGTTTTAATGTCCACCCTCTGCCAGGGTGAACAGTCCCCTGAGGGAGCTCTGTGTGAACAGGAGCGAGGATTAGCAGACAGGATGCGGTGGGGCTGATCCATCCTGTGGGACCTGCTCCTCAGGCAGCCCCAGTCCTGTGTGGCCTGTGCGTCCCCCACTGTTTCCTTCCGGTTCTGGGCTGAAGGGCCACACTCTGCCTTTATTAAAACATGCCTGGGCAGATGCACCAGGACAGACCCTAAACACAGAGGTCTGTGTGTTTCTGTGTCTTTGATATTATCACAAGAGTCAATCACCACACATCTGGGCCACGGAAGATCACCTCAGCAATCTAGGTCAGGAATAAAGAAAGGTAATTCTTAAATTATCTTTCAATAGAAAGGCTGCTTTTCATTACTGGAAATTATGACTACAGATCAATCCAAGTAGACATTGGGTCCTTGGAGCTGTGACCCACACTTCATGTTATTGTTCTCACAATGACACAGCCTCTGAGCCTGGGTCCACTTTGGCGTAGCCTGTGAACCTGGTCTCACTCTAGCACAGATCACAGTTAAGTGACGGCTCTGTTCTTGACTCAAAGTTTACATGCCATTTTCTTCTCCTTCTCTGCTTCTTATCTAGAAGCTTCTTTGAGTGATTCTTCAAAGAAATATTTATTGAATACCAAGGAGTATGGTAGGACTCAACAGGGAAAAGGGAAGATGATCCATGGTCTCACGGTGAGGAGTGAATAGCTCCTCAGAGGCGCTTTCTGTCATGAGCTGTAGAAATACAGACTCCACAGCAATGCTAACAGTGACTCTCCACTTCATACGGCACCCCCATCAGAAGCACGTGGCCCTCCTGGCACATTTATCTGTTGGTTTTAGCCTGGGATGGAAAAGGTCACAGAATCTTAAAAGTTTCTTAACATTTATTTTGTTAGGTTCTAGTAAAATGTTCCAATTCTAGGTAAATTTTGGCTGTGTTTGTAGATTTTTAAAATTCCTTTGTGTCTACAAAGCAGCCTACTCATAAAATGTACAAGTTTAAAAAAAAAATGTTCAATATGAAAAAATATCCATGGATATTGAGTTATTCAGCTTTAGGTCACCGTGACCAAACTATTCTCCATGGACAACTTAAAGAAGGGAAGGTTTCCTCTGGCTCCGGGTTTCAGAGGGCCATCCCATGGATGACGGGCTCCATAGCTCTGGCCCGAGGTGAGGCAGAACCTCAGGGCAGGAGGACACCATGGAGAAAAGCTGCTTGGTCACAGTGGCCGGGAAGCTGGAAGGGGAAGAGGGTGAGGGTGGGCTGGGGACAAGAGAAAGCCCTCCGTGGTGCACCCCTAGGGACTCTTCCTCCAACCAGGCCCACCAGCAGACGGCTCCCACCTCCTGCCAGTAGACCCATCCAATTATTAGCACATCAGATGGACTGATCCTGGGCTGAGGTCGGGGCCCTCGGATCTGATCACTCCTAAAAGACCTCTCTGGACATCACTTTCTGGGGACCAAGTCTTCAACTCGCACACCTGTGGGGGACATTCCAGATTCGAATCTTAACAGATATTAAGAGTGAGTAGGTTCAACAAACCTGTGGGCCTACGTAATTTCAGAAAATTTACAAGCCCTACAATGAGATTCTTTGAACCCCTAGCAACGCATAAAAGCTCCAAGGACTCTGAAAACACCCACGTGTGATTCGGCACTGAGAGAGGCCTTCCACTTAGTGGAGTGTTCGTCATGCATGCCTCTTTGGAATTGGTTGTGGAGATACTGCCTTCTGTGTGGAGAACCACAGCAGCTCTTCCTGTGTGCACGCAGGACTGATGGACGTGCGTGTCCTCTGTGATTAGACTGCGGCTGCTCCGTAAGCTGTTTCTGCAATGT